GCCTTTCACTTTCAAAGGTGGGACTGTTAAAAGAATGAGCTGAGGTGATTTCCCAACCTTTGCTGTCAGCCTTAGAGGCCGGAGTGGGACTCACCCCCTTTTAAAAAGTACTGTGTATCATGTAAAGGTGGGATATTATGGCAAGGTCCCCAGCTGTCACATAATAAAATGCCATGAGCCAAAGGCACATTTCCTCTCCTACCTCCCAGCAAAAAATGCAACTCTCAAATGAAATTGCATGTTTTAGTCACAGGCACATCATTTTTAATCATGTCAGGAGGGAATCTTCAAGAACTTCTAGCAAATAAAAAGGTAAAAAGGTGAGATCAGAAGACTGAGGGAACAATCCATTTTATATAGCTATATATAAAATATAGCTAATATAGCTATAGCTAATATATAAAATATATAGAATAATATATAAATATATAAAATATAGCTATAGAGTTCATGCCATCCCAGCATCAGAGGGAATTACTGAAAAAAACAGTGAGGAAAGGGTGTGGATCTCTCACAGAGAGTAAACAGGTTGAATAATTATAGATTGCCTCCTAGAAATGCCCAAAATAATGAGGAAGATTGATGTATGAAAGCACTACTGCAATATTTTGAAATAACAGCACAATTGGTATAATCTGAGAGAAAACACTGACAGCACAACTTTGGCTGGTTTGACTGATAATGACACAACATGCAGCTTAATTCTGCAAAACATTACAAGTTACTAAAAATTCTAGAAGCTATGAAGTGCATAAGCTTGCAAGCAGCTAGGTTGAAGGGGTATTTTAAAAGCAATTGCACATAGATAAACATTATTAACAATTATTAATAATCTAGCTCAAAGGCTGTTGCCTAGAGGGATCATAAATCTTATCAATCAGTCTGGTTGTCTTTTTTTGTGCCCTGGAACATCACTAAGCAGGTGCTGCATGAGGCAGCTCCTCATCCAGTGCTAATCAACCTCCAGACGACAAAAAGTCCATAATTGCTGTGAAAATGATGAGAGGCAATTTAAATGTGAGGCTCTTTAATGGTGATTTAAAGTGCTCATTAAAAGGGCCTTACTTAAGCAACATGTGGCTAATATCAGGAGGTTAGTTAACCAACAGTTCATCCAGATTAGTGCAGTTCATTGAATTTTGAAGAGAGTAAATAAGGAAATGATTTAGTGGAGAGCACATGGAGCACATTCTCACAGCTGGATGGCGACCAGGCCAGGAATCTCTCTCTCATGGCTGTTGAGCATGGTGAGTTTGAAAGGTTGTTGTACACAACTAGAACCCTCTTGTTAATCCTGTGATGTTGGCACTTCTCAAATAAGATGTGGTAAAACACAAACTTGTTTAAGTAAAAAACCAACCTATGATAAGATTATACAGTCAGCAAAAAATCTGTTTATTTAACTGTACAGACAAACTGTTTTCCAGTGTCTGGAAATCAAGCAGGATAAAACTATAACAGAATTTGTTTTTCTTTTTCACTAGGACAGTCTTTGGGATGTTCCTGACATCTGATAGATTTTTTCTGTCAGGAAAAAAATCAATTCACCCATTCTTGTAAAAGATCTGCTCTAGTGTAACAAGACAGATAAACAGTTTATTGAAGTGGTTTTGTGTAGAACATCAGGTATTTAATTACATGAGCCATATTAATTTTTTCAGTCCTGTTAGCTCAATTGATATCCCAGGCCATGTAAAGGTGTTGGGGGGCTTGCCCTGGGGTTTCATCTGAAGCCAGCACGGTTTTTGTTTCTGCTGTGATGCAGCTCACATTTGGATGGGCTACTAAAAAGGTCTAAGCACTCTCACCTGCCAATGATTTACACTTAATTCTGTGTCTGTGGTAACAACTCCAATCCAAGCTGCTGGTTAGGACTGAATGCAAAGAGAAGCTGTACAACCAGCATTGATATCTACCCTTTGTATTTTAAATTAAAAAGAAAAAACAATAATTAAAACAGCACATCATGACAGATGCATGATGCAAATCAATGAGAAAAATATCAAGTTCTTTTGAAAGGCAAATGATCCACTGAGCAGTGGAAAGATAAATTCTCAGACACTGACTAAGATAGAGATCAGAGATCAGCTGTTTTTCTCTCTTGTTTGCTCAACAGCACTAAACAGAAACTAGACACTGGGACAGGAGCACCAAAGAATCATTTTCTGTTGTGGAAAAGGCTATTTTCACCCTCTGAAGACTTCTGCAGTATCTTAACTACAGGAGTATTTGCTTACACTTGCTGTACACGATCCTTTTTATTTAGTTTGCTAACAAAGAGTTAAATTTTAAAATACATTGATTTTTCTGCATCTAGGGATTAACGTCCTGAGAATAAGAAGGGCTCTAATCAAAGCTGCCCACTCCAGCTGGCCCCTGCCTGGCCAGCAGCTCCCTGCTACTGCTGCCCCCTGCAAATTGTGCCTTGGCAGCGTCTTCTTCTGGTGGGATCTGCTGCCACCCTCTGCCTGGAGGAGCCTGCAACCAGCTAAAGGTGATTAAAGGTGGCTAAAGGTGCTAAAGATGACTTACTGTGGCTTTTGTAAGGACTGCTTTTATCAGGAATCAGAAATCACTGATATATCAGTGTTCTTCTTAAGGGGATTTTTTACTATCCTATAATTAGTATATAATATAGTAATATATTATATACATATAATATATATAATATATATAATCTATAGTATAAGTATATATAATTACACTTACAATATAATTACTAATATCGTAATCCTATAGGATTACTATAATCCTTTTTTTTTTTTCTTTTCCCTGCAACAGTGAGTAATATGGAGATGGGTCTTGGAAAAAGAGATATGTCTCTTTTTTTAGGTGTGACACCACAGTCTGATTTTACTTCAGTTGTTTCCCATTCTGGCAGTTTTAATCAACAGTTCTTGGTTCAAGAGGTCAGCTTTGATTTGATTTCCACAGACAGTTTGGACAGCAGCAGGTCTGAGGACAGAAAAATTCTTCTCAGCCATACTGAAAGCAAGGTACAAAAGATATTTTAATCCTGGAAAGTTATAAATTAATGGTATATACAGGGCTAGGAAAAAATAGGGAGAAACTGAGAAAAATGCTTCTCAGGCATACTGAAAGCAAAAGTACAAAAGATATTTTAATCCTGGAAAGTTATAAATTAATGGTATATACAGGGCTAGGAAAAAAAACAGAGAGAAACTTATTTTTATTCACTTGTCAGAACGATGAAAACAAAGACATTTTCTTTTTTATATAAGGGAAACAAAGAATGTTTCCCTTATATGAAAAAGAAAGTAGCACTATTTTCTACAGGTTCTACTGCTCCAAAGTAACAGAGTAATTTTAGCTCCATTCCTTTTCAGATCCTTAGGATTAAAAGGCCAAAAACCCACTTGGGTAGGTCTGCTAATACATCTGAAGACAACCTGAAAATGAAAACTTGGGAATGCAAAGCTCCACCACAAAACTTTGTAAAACAGGGAATGCATGCTTGTCCTGTGACTAGAAGTGGGTAGCTGATGTTTTATGCCACAACAGGACATGAAGGATCAGTAACTCTGAAAAAAGAGTGAATTTCCATCCCTTGCATGAATTTAATGGTCAGTAATGCTCTGAGTGTGAGGACAACTCTTTTAGAAAAATTGCACTGATGGCAATGTTGGTTGTTTTGTGGTTTTTTTTCATTCAGACTTCTATAGGATGGATGCAATCATAACCTAACACCATGGATTTTCTCTGCAATGGTGAATGAAGTCCCCTTTGATCACGTTATTGATCAAATAGCCATGGAAAACTAAAAATTGTTCTGCACAAAAAGTTAGAGCCAAAATGAATCAATAAAATAGCAGCAGAGGTTTATGGAAGATTATAGAGCAAGTTAACCTTGAAGCCATGATAGGACACAATGGACTGGTGGTTTGGAACAGTCAGCATGGATTTACCAAGAGCACATCAAGGTCTGACTGAGCTGGTTGATTTCTGTGAGGAAATGGTTGGTGATGTGGTGAGAGTGCTGGCAGGGGAGGGGGCAGGAGCTACCAGGAATGGAATATTTTGGTGCAACATCCAGGTAGACAGCAGTCATATCTCACCTGTCTCGAGCATAATTTACCTTTTAAGTACAATTACTCTCAGGAATCAGGCAGAATGCATGGCAGAGACACAACCAAACAAACCTGTTCGGGTTTCCTTGAACTAGGGTTGGAAGTGATAAAGGACTGCTCCAAAGTACACATAGCCCTAATAAACTTTCATATTTCACCTGCCTTTGCTGCTAATAGCAATAAGCTATAAATATGAACAGTCTTCTAAGCATGAATGATTCTTGAACACCCTCTTTCTTCCATATATCCAAAGTATTACATTTTCTCTTCCTGCAAGTCCTTGGCTGGCTCTAGCAGATCTGAACTGCATGGATTTTAGCCATAGACTGTGAAAATAAAACTTCGTAAGAAAATGCACTGGAAACAGGATTATTTCTAAAGTTGGGACACCATAATTTTAAACACCAGGAAGGTGTGAACCAGTCCAATCTAGACAATTTCAGGAAAAAAAAAAAAAATATACTTCACAAGAATGTACAAGAGGAACACACTTGCACGTCTTCTTCCTAACTAACTTTTGACCTCTGTGGATAAACATGGATTTTGGGACCTTTAACAGAGGGCAGAACTGGGAGGAGACAAGATTAAAACATTGGTTTGAGTTGGAAGTTAATGATTCTTCTACCATGTACCAGCAGAGCTTTGCTTAAGGAGAGAATTCTCAGGCTTTTGAGCATTTGTGTGGCAGTATAACTGATGTTGTTGTGGATGAAGAACCTAGGTAGGAACCTCTTCAATACTCTTTCTGTTTATCTTTGAAATGTTGTTGTTAGTGTTTGCAGCCATCAAACAGGACCTGTGTAGTTCCCAGCTGCATTTGCTGTGACTGGTAGCAGCAGTACCAGTCCTGGTGGAAGTGTCAATGCTTTAGTGGTGGCATCCTGCACTGTGTGTGTGTCTCTGAGCTGTCAGCATGGTGTGTCTTGAGCAATGAGCATTGGGGTCTGCACAGCTCTGTGATACTCATTTTTCATGTTAGCTGAGCTTCAAAGGTCTTGCTATGGGTGTATTTAAAAAGCAGGCAGTTGGATTAGCCCTGCAGTTAGTGTCAATCACTGCAGCTCCATAAAGTGCTGGAGGAAATCAAGTGGCTCTTGATTTGTGATTTGCTCTTCCGCTGGGCGATGTCACAGTCCCAGAGTGCGCAACTGTGGTGACAATCAGCCCAAAGATTTAGAGTGTCTTTGCTGCATTCTTAAAAGTCCTCAAACATTTTATTTTTTAAGAGCCCACAAAACCTGCAGCAAACCATTGTCTTGACCTTTGTAAACTTATTGCCTGTTATTCATGTGGAGGTTTTCTTTAGTTGGTGTTCGTATTCATTATAATTTGAGTGTAATTAGGTGGGTATAAAACAAAGCTGAATTTATTTATATCCAATAAGGAACAGATCTATTGAAAAGGCCCAGAGTTAGATCATGGTCCCTATAAAATTACATCCCCTGAAGCACTGAAGAAACCTGTCCTTTGCAAGGCTGGCTGCATTCACTCTGCAATTGAATTGCAACTTGCTGCATGATTTCCCGTGGTGTCCTGGCAGCTGGCAGCTCCCAGCAGCACAAACAATGCACACTGATTATTAGTTGAGAGCCTTGGTTTCCTCCCACCCAAAGTGTTTTTCAGAAGAGACTGTACTGAGCATAAAGTAAAGTAAAATTTTCAAATGTTCCAAAAAGTGAACCGAGGGTTAAATTTCATTTGTCTGTACTGCTCAGAACTTTTTAGTGGACCTTTTTTTTTTCTTATTTTTTGGGAAGAGGTTTGTTTTCTTCCCCTAGGAAGAAAGATGGGTTAATTTGTGTTTAGGCTGATTGACTACCTAAACAATACCAATTATTTATTTGCCCAATCCTGTCTTTCTGCAAATGCAACTCTCTCAGATCACTATTACAGAAGAGTAGCTTATGCAGGCAAAAAATGATAGTTTTAGAGAACTCATATTAGTGAAAGGGCACATTTGGTGCAGAAAGCTTCATACTTTTGCTTTCATATTTCATATTTTCAACCAAACCTTTAAGTTGTTAAACATGGGAAAAATTCTAATGAAAAAAATCTAAAATAAGAACTTTATCAATACTTAAAATTATCAGGCTCAGCAGCTACTGTATGTTGCCATCAATTGTCAATTGACCTTTTATCTTTTTTTCTAGTGCTCTTGTGGCCTGGAATTTCCCCAGCCCTCTTCTCTTCCATCTCCAGCTGAAATCTGTGTAGGTCAGGGTCATCTGAGGGTGGGAGGAGATACTGTCACCAGATTCTAAATCATGTTGTACCTTTAAATTGTCAAAAAAATTCCACTTCTCCAATTCTGTGCCCTGCAATGATACGCTCCCCCAGCAGATTACTGTAGTCATCAATGTATCATAATTAATGAGGAGAAGTTTGTATCTTCAGGTTACGCAGAGACAGGTGAATTTTAGAGGGCCAGCTGCTCAAAAATATTTGTGTACTAGCTTTCCCTGAGCACCAGTAATTTTATTTCATAACATTTTTGTTCATAGCTTGCAGTGTTGGAGAAATCCTTTCTCTACTACTTGTTCCTATCTGTCTGAGTAGCCAAGGGGAAGGAGAAGCCAGTTTTTTTTTGTCCTGATACATGTGGTGACCCAGCCTTATAGCATAGCCACAAAAGAGTTTGGGAAGTAGATATTAGCAGTGGGAAAGCAGATGGACGTTTTCCAGCATTGGAAAAGTTCATCCAACTTTTTTCAGCTGCATTCAAGCATATAAAATCTCTCTTTGTGTGATTTGTTCCTCCTCTCTCTCTTTTTCGGCCTTTTCTCAAATGAGGAGAGTATTGTGAAAGGTGAAACAAATCAGATCATGTGAGCTGTAATTTCTGAGTTCTGATTTGAGGGCATTAATTGCAATACTCCTATCTGCAGATCTGAACATGGCTTGTTTCAAGTGACCCATTTTTTTTCTGAGGGGCTCTGCAGTGGCTTCTGGATCGTCCTTGAGAAATCTGTTCTGATTGTAGTGGGAGTTGCACAAACAGGCAAGTGTTTTCATGCTTTAAATAAACTTTGCAAACAGACTTTATAGACTTCCTTTACAGCTTTTCTCTGAAGTTTCCTCTTTTAGTTGTTGTCCATCTCTCAGATACAGTTTTTAAAAAGTTTTTCTTTTTGTTTTTTAATGAAGTATTGAACTATCTATTGCAATAAACCAAAATACAACCTAATAACAAAACAAGGCTTTCAACACTAAAACATTATGATGTGTCAAAGGATATATCATTGTCTATGGATACAGGAAGTTCCTGGGGCAACTGAGGCAGTTCTGCTGAACTGCTGAGTGGCTGATCATTTCAAGCACCTGGGCATATAGACAGCACTCTGCAAACAGAAAGAGATCAGGAATAGCCTGCATATTATTGCAAAAAGAAAAAACAAACAAACAAACAAATAATATCCTTACAGGAGGTCAGTTAGGTGAAATAATAAACACTTTTGCCACTTAGAATTATTTCCAACAAGCCAGTGTAAATGAATAAATTGGACGGCACACTGTTGCTACAGATTTTACCAAATCAAAGCCTGAGTTTTAAGCCACATGGCCTGCAAATTTAGAGCTTCCTAAGACTCCCTGTGCTTCAGCACTAGTGCCTTTTTGACCCTTGTAGTTTATTTGTGGACAGAGATTTTGTCTCTTACTCCTCTGTCAAAACTGCCTTTTTAGCATTACAAGACAGGATAAGGTAGAAAGGGGGGGGTGCTCAAGTCTCTTTGAAAAAAAAAATATGTCAAAACTAGATACTTCAGAAATTAAACAAATATACACTTTCACACATGCAAGTCATTGAGCCAAATCATTTTAAGTAGAAAGGTTCAGTTTCAAAATCTCAGCATTTTCCTGTAATAGTTTCACCAGATTCGTCAGAGAGGTCCTTGGGCAATTCCATTTTGGCATATGTGCTTTGGTATTTATTCCTGTTTTCTCTTGAGCTCAGGTCACTCAGTAAAGAAATCAGCCATGACAATGGATACCAAACCCAGCAACGTCAGTGACTCAAACCAGGAGGCAGAACCTGACCAGCTTTTGGATGATGATGGAAACAAAAACCCACCAGTCAAAAAGACTTCCTCTTGCACTGGATTGAAGGTTTGGAGCCATAGCAATACCACCATGAATTACCTTTGGGTTTTGTTAAGAAATGTTGGTCAAGGTGTGACATGCCAAATTCCTTCATTCCTATACCTATCTTTTGAGGAGCTGGGTATGCACTAGATGTCCAGATCTTATATTTTTTCTAAATAAAACAAAAATTCATGATCTGCTATATTTATTCACAAGTTACTTGTAGGTGGATCCCCTTCTAGGTCATTAGAGAGAGGCAGCAGCTTCCAGTGGAAGACTTGAACCAGCCTCAATTAGGTGCCTACAATGCACTTGTCTGGAGGTTGTTGTCACTACCAGTCTTGTAGGGTCAGAATAAGGTGAGGTGAATCACATTTCATCAAATGTTTTGTGGCTTACCCAAGGATTGCATTTGAAAACCCAAACAACCTCAGTGTTTGGGGGTTTTTTGTGTTTTCATGCTTATCAGCAGTTTGAAATTTCACCCAAACCCTCTGAGAGTACTTCTGGTATAAGGCATGCAGGGTGATTCTCAGAATTTTTGCCAGTCAAGCTCAGGAAATATAGAACACATCAGGACAAACCCCACATTTGGAAGTTTTTTCATTCCCGACAAAAAGAGAGTAAATATACAAATTTTCAAGCTTTTTCTTCCTGGATTGGCTTCATTTGTTACAGTAGATAGCATTGCAATATCTAAACCTGTATTTACTTTGTTTATTTACCCAAGTTTCTGTTGTATTAGAGCTCTTGCACAGTGAGGAACAAGTCTATTTGGTTTTTAGGCTATGTGGAAATCACTGGATAATATTTAAACAAACTTAAATATTTTTCCAAATAAATCTTTATTTGCAAAACTCACAAGGTGTGCTGGTGGAAGCAACAGTCAAACTACAAGAGATTATTAAGCTTTTCCTTGTGAGATACATGGTACACAAGCAATATTTCAGAATATATCGTATGAGACAGAGATGAACTCAATCAGCGCCACATTCCTCATACTGATGTATCATAAAATCTTGCTTAAAGCATCAAAATGATTCCATATGATTGAGTTAGAAGCAGTTACGAATTGGCCTAAAATAAGGGACACGTGACCCAAGCAAGAGGTAATTTGGGTTTAGATTAACTTTGCCATTCTGATTTGAGAAATAAATACATCATGGTGATGATCACTCCACACTATTTTAAATATATTTGATCCCTCCATGACCAGTTTTCCTGCCTGTCTCTCCTATTTCCTGTCTGAATCTTTCCCCAGGTGTTTCTGGCTGCTCTGTCCTTCAGCTACTTCAGCAAAGCCCTGTCCGGTACGATAATGAAAAGCTCCATCACTCAGATTGAGAGAAGGTTTGACCTGACCTCCTCCACCGCAGGGCTCATCGACGGCAGCTTTGAGATGGGTAATGGATGTTCCCAAACACACAGAGAACTGCTCAGAGATGGCATCTGGTGCTAATTCTGGTTCTTTACCTTGCAGGCAACTTGCTGGTGATTGCATTTGTAAGCTATTTTGGAGCTAAGCTGCATAGGCCCAAAGTAATAGCTGTGGGATGCTTTACTATGTCTTTGGGATGCTTTTTATCAGCCATGCCTCATTTCTTCATGGGATAGTAAGTATTAATTATGGCTAATTTGGGTAACCTAACATTGGAGTTGCATTGTGCTTTCTGGTTTTTAGATGAAACTTATTTAGATGTATATCTAGCCTTAAGCTTCCAAAGGCCCATGGAACCTTCCAAATGCAATGAGCCCCACGTGCCACACACATCACTGTTGTGATGGGGAATGTTCATTTAAAAAATACAGCTCTTCTGAAGTGAAAGTTCAGCTCCTTGAGAAAATGAGATCACAGTGCTTTGGTTTCCACTCAGGCTCATTCAGAAAGGAGGCAAAGAATGCAGTGATGCTAGAGCCTGCAGATGGTTGAGTGCTGCTAGAACTCATACCAGTTTTTTCCTGTTCCAAATGCATGTGCCTGATTAAACTGATTTGCTGTGTCTGGTTAATTTTTATTCACTTTCTCCATGCTCAGGGAATGACTCCGTCATGCTTGTATGTGATAATGTTTCTAGCCATAGCTTGAGCACAGGGATGACAAAAAGAGTAACACATATTTTCTGTTGATTTCTTAAATACTTTAGAATAATTTTAGGTATACTACTGCAAAAAGAAAACTAAGGAATGCTTTCTTTCATGTTAGTGGATCTCGCACTAAAACCAGACTTTTCATCAGTTTTTCACTCTTTAAGACAGGACATGCATCATACTCAACTACACTGAGCAACTCATGAACCTGAGTCTTAACACTGGCAGGGGAACTGCTCTGCACTGTGTCTCCTGATGACTGCTCTTTGTTTCAACCTGAAAAATAAGCCTGCCTGGTCTGACAGAGCCAGGGCAATTCCTTGAAGCAGAATGTGTGCTTTACCATGTTGTTCTGCTAAAGCTAATTGTACTTTGCCCCTCAGCAGCACTCATTTCTGGGAGAGGAATCATGTTGAAGAAGCTGAACAGACCAAACACATATCTAAGATGGAAAGGGGACCTTTGCTTTAACTCAAGACATTAATCTTTTTCTCCTTGGCTGTGGGCTCAACACAGGGAGTTCACTTGGACCTGACCCTCAAATTAGACACCAAAAATTCAATCCTATCTGAAATACTTTCATGAGCCCTTTTGAATTTTCCAGCTTAAAACATTATGCCTTCCAGACAGAGAATTCTAAGTTTTATTTGGTTTTAATTTCAGTATTTTGGTTTTCTAAAATGCTTTTTAATAATCTTATTTGCTCCTTTGAATTTATATTTAACCAAAGATACCTTTCTCTTTAGGGAAACAGCAGCCAAGGTGGTTCCAGCCCTACCACACTGGTGTTTCCCTGGTGAGCACTGCTTCTAAACCTCCTGTTGTGTGTTTGCAGCTACAAATATGAGACAACATCACACAGAGCTGCTTCAGCCAACTCAACTTCCACCTTAAATCCCTGCTCCCTAGATCAAGATGTGAATGACACTGTCCTGGAAGTCTCACGAGCAGGTATGGAACTGTAAATGAAAGTACAAATGCAGGAGTTTTGTTTTGCCCTTGGTTGCAAGGACTCAGTTACCTGGAACTGGAGTTGGGGACAGGACAATAAACTGCATGGAGTTTAACAGAAATAAATATAGATTCCTATATTCCTCCCTACAATATGGAATGCAGCTGTTTTATGTGTTGCTTGTATGGAACACAGGTAGAAAATGAGCCAAGCTCTGCCCCAGAAAACGTCTCAAACTTCTCACATTAAAGATGCATGATATTTGCCAGGTAATATATTTATGAAAATATCAATAGATTATTTTTTTATCGAGCATTCTTTCTAATGGGTGATACTTACCTGTGCTTTTAGAAATCAAATGCAATGGAGGAGGAAGAATGTGTTATTAAAAGATCATAAAAAGTTATAATGGGATTGACAGCTTTCATTGATCTTCTATAAAGAAATGTTCTTAATACCTTGATCTTTAATCTATTATCATTCCATGTGCTACATTTCCTGTGATTTTCCCATTTTCCATTCAAATACTTTATTACAAAGATGTCAACTCTCCTCTGCAGGCTGTGAGAAGGAGCCATCATCATACATGTGGGTATATATCTTACTGGGAAGCATGTTACGTGGGATTGGTGAGACACCAATAACACCACTGGGCATCTCTTACCTCGACGATTTTACTAAAGAAGAAAACGTTCCTGTGTATGTAGGTAATCTCAACAAGAAGTAAACTGGGAGATTCCTAGGCTAAGAGGTTGAGCACCCTGTGCAGAAGACAGCATTCAGCCATTAGAGGGTACTAGCATCTGCCTCATTGTATTTTCAGCGTTTTTGCACACCATAGCCATGATGGGCCCCATGTTTGGCTTCCTGCTGGGATCTCTGTGTGCAAAGCTGTACGTGGATATTGGATTTGTGGATCCAGGTAAGCAAAACAGAGGAAAAGTGAAAGTAAGCTAATGCTTGTTCATAAGAATTCCCTATAAACAGCTGCATATGTTTGCATTATATTAATTATAGTAATATATGTTATGTTTGAATTATATTTATTTAATTATTTTTATTGTAGAGTTTATTGCAATTTTACTGAATTACTGAAAGCTTTTAGAGTAAAGGCAGAGTTAGACTGGGAGCATATTTTAGAACTGTGCTTTAAAGGATTGTAATTACACACTTAACTCTAAGAATTACTACCAATAACTCTCACAGAAGCAAGACTTATTTTTTTTAATCTGGATTTTTAACAAAGAGATTCTGCTAGTACAGCAGCTTTACAGTTTGGGGGAATTACCCACCCTTTCCACTAAGTATTTTACATTATTTACATTTCACATAGTTTTTGCTGCACAACATATACTTTTTGTCCCAGCCCTTCCTTATTCAGATGAAATGCCAACACATGTATGTGTTAACATCTGCACAATGCCAGAGGGACACAGCAATCCTTGTAAGTGGTGGCTGTTCCTTTTCATTTACCTTGTTTTTCTAGCAGGACAGAGAAGTTTTCAGATCTTCAGAATCCTGTAGCTAGACAGGTGAACTATTTTATCTTTGCCCTTTGTTAAGCCAGTGCTTGATTTTATTTGGGAGTAAAGAGAGTGAGCCAATTTTGGACATGAAGTGAAAAGTCTTGGTCACTCACCAAACATGCCAGAATTAAAAACCATAAAAATTCAACCAGCTACTCTCACCTGCTTTGCAGTACAATTAAAGCCATGGGTAATTTCACTGACACTACAGAGAATGTCCAATTGCTTAATAGCTGTTGGAATCTGAGGTATTGATGATTCCGAGATTGTAGAAAGTCTCTGTCTCTCTGCCCCACTGCCAAAGAAGAAGCCATAATTTGTCTGTGCTGGTTTCAAGGTTGTTTATTCTGTTTATCTCTAACATGTTCTGCTGCCCTGCCGCAGCTCTGTCCTGCAGGGCAGCGTGTGGGGCTCTGCCCTCAGTGGGATGTTACAAACATTAAATACCAGAAACTACCTGTGCTGTATTTACAATAATGTGCCAGTATCTGTCACCTACGTTGAACAGTGTGTCCCCAGCCTAAACCAACAGAAAAATGCCAACACTGCAGTGAAACATGGAGGGCATGAAGAAGGAGAAAAAGGACAAGACACACCCAATTTCCTCCATCTTGTCCCCTCTGAACCCCTGATCTAGAATCCTAAAATTTTACTTTTGCACCCATGCCACAGTTAATTATCCTTTCTATCAAACACTCAGAACTTGTAATTCATCCTGTAAGATTGAAAACTCTTTTCCATGGGCAGAGATCAGAGACAGTGTCTTTGGGGGCTCTGTACAGGGGGGTTCCTGACCCCCTGCCAGGGTCCCAGGCCTTCCAAGGCAGCCAGAGGCAAGCCCTGGATTCCCACAAATAGCAACCTACACAGTTCAGGAAAGCAGAGCATGGGCTGGGGAGCCAAAAAGCACACCACACTTGAGGCCTGTCTGCCACCCTTTTTGGTTTCCCATGTGTTGGGTAAGGACCTTGGTGTTGCTGTGTCTGCCACAAAACATCAGCCAGTGAAAGGTGTAGAATGGCAGATAAAATAATGCTGGACAAACAGGAATGGCTTCAAGTAAAAAGAGAGTAAGGTTGGGTTAGATGTTAGGAAGATATTCTTCCCTGCAAGGATGGTAGGGCATTGGAACCAGTTGTCCAGAGATGCTGTGGATGCCCCATCCCTGGAAGTGTACAAGGAGGGTCTCAGACCATCCTGGTCAACCCCAAGTCCAAACCAACCCATGATTCTGTAACCCCATGCAGGGTATGACTCCTGATGCCTTCACTGCATGGTTGTTCCCTCACTAGATGTTTCTTGCTGGAAGTCAGACACTATAAAATGCAGCTGCCATAGCAGAAAAAGGCTGGGAAGGTTCAGCTTCTTCACTGGGGTGATTTGTGTCTGTTTCCCTCATTTCCAGGGAGCATCACTATCACCCCACAGGATTCCCGCTGGGTGGGTGCATGGTGGCTTGGCTTTTTAATAGGTGGAGCAGCCAATTTCCTATCTGCTATTCCATTTTGCTTCCTGCCAAAGAGTCTGAAAAAGCCAGAAGAAGCCAAGAAGGACAAAACTTCACATGGGCTCTTGGAAAACATGGATGCCACAGGGAATAAAATTTCTCCTGAAAAAACTAAGCCAAGGAAGTGGTCAGTAATGCTGAAAGGCAAGTGTTTCTCATGTTGTATAAATGTGAAAAGCAATAGGCACAACACACACAGGAAATGTAACAGAATATTTTGCCTCCCCTGCACTTCCATCTAAAGCAGGCAGGTATCCCCAGGAAAGGAAAGGTCCACCAAAAATTATTAGAAGTGTAAGAGCTTGTTCAGGACTCTGAGGTTCTGCATGCATCACCTGAAATAAATCATCATTTGAGTGGCACCTACTTCTAAAATATTGCACTGGAAGAAATTTGAACAGTGGAAAAGTGTTCCTGTATCTGAACCTAAAGAAAATATTCAAAGGCTCCTTTTGCGATATGGAAAGACAAAAATTCATTTCAGAGAGTTCATGGAGACTCTGAAGTACACTGGTGCCTGATGAAAATACTTCAGTCTTGAATAGCTCTGGTTGTGCAATCCTTAGGCCAAAAAAAAGTGGTGGAAAGGTGATGGGAAGAAATGGCTTTGCTTCGTTTGTCAAATTTTTTGTTCAGATCCCAGTGGAAAACACTGGACATCCCTACTGAGGCAGCTCTCACTTAGCCTTGAACCTTTGATAATATTCATGCCAGCTGAACAAAGTCTGTGCTGTGTGGAGCCCCTTAATCTTCATATCTCAGTGGAGCAGCCAGGCCTTAACCCATACTTCTGTCTTCTTTTAGGGTTCCCTTCCTGTATCTCAACCTCTGGTGTTTCTCAAGAACCCGATTTTGCTTTCAGATGCCCTCATGCAAAGGGAGATCAGTACAGCTTGCACTTGGACAGCTGAGAGCAGGACCTTGCCCCAATTTTTGCAGGTTACTCACCAGTAATTATGCCATGCATCTTTCAATGCCAACTCATATGTCCCTTTCTTTCAGATTTCTATAACTCCCTGAAAAAAGTGTTGGGTAATCGAATGTACTTTACATTTTTGTGTTGCTCACTGTTACAGTTCAGTAGTTTTATTGGTTTCGTGACTTACAAACCAAAGTATATGGAACAGCAGTATGGACAATCTACATCCAAATCCAACTTTCTAATAGGTGAGTTCCACTGTGCAAGGACTGCTTGTGCTGTCAGCAGTGCATGGGGCTGGGTTCTGGTGTGCTTTATCTGGGGCTGAATCCATGCAGAACAGGTGGAGGTAAATAGTGGTCTGACCTTAACCTGAATTATAAAAAATACAGAGTTTCTGTCTGTGGAATCAAAAGAAATTTTTAAGTTATATGCATTTATATTATATTTATACTAAGGGCACCCCAAATATGCAGTGAGTGTGGTGTGGAAGTTTTAGTTGCTGAAGCATCTGGCAAGTTCCTGGCAATGGGAGTGGGTTTGGAGGTTAGGCATTTCACAAACCACACGTGCAGCCCAGGGGCTGGGCTGAGCACAAACCTTCCTGAAGTCGTAACAGACCATAAAGATGCCAGGAACAAAAAAACTAAGGACAAACTTTGGCTCTTAAGACTATAATGTTTAATTCTAACATTCCCCTTCTATAATCTCTTTCAGGAGTGACATCCTTACCTCCTGTAGGTCTTGGAATTTTCTTAGGAGGGCTTATAATGAAAAAGTATAAAATGGGCATTGTTGCAGCCACAAAGTTTTCACTTACCATGTCATTTTTGTCCTATGCCATCGGCTTGTTGCACTTTTTTGTTGGCTGTGATAACCATGCGGTGGCAGGAATGACAGTGTCCTATGAAGGGTGAGTATAAAATAGAAAAAAATCATTGTTTTTTTCTCCATAGTTCTCAAAAAATGTTCTGTGACATCAAGGCAAAAGGAGAAACATGCTTTTGCAATGCTTGAGAGAAAGTGACCACTGCCACATGTCACTGGGGTGGTTTTGTTGGTCAGCAGAGTGTCACCTGAAAAAGCCCAGCGCTGGTTAAATATTAATTAGGAATTATTTCATTAGCAATGCAGGTTGTTTTGCTGGGGGAGGGTGGGAGTATTGCTGTGCAAGGTTGTCACTAGGAATGTAAACAGTAGACCAGGGAATATGCTCAGGAAACACTGGGATGAAAGAATGGCAAGCACATCAGTTTCATTTACCTAGAAAGGAGAAGATGAGTGAAAACATATCTTTTTGCTCAATACACAAAGGATGTCTGAAAGCAAAAGATTATACTAAATTATCTTTTATATCTTTAATAATACTAAATTATCTTCATATCCTCTGTGAAAATTTAGGTTAGGCTTTAACAGAGGAGTATTTTTGACTACAGAGACCAGGAGATTTGGTTTCTGTCACTGCTGTGTTTTTACCAGCTGATAAAGATATACTTGATAATGCTGTGATAACTCTTCCTAGTTCTAAATTGAGTTAGGGGGGAACACAAATGACTTCTCCCTCCTTTCTCTTTTCTGTCTACACCTGTAAAATCAGTAGCCATGTATTCAAATTCAATGTATTTATTTAAAATACATTGTATATATTCAATGTATTTATTTAAAAGTTCTCCATAATCTAGTAATGGCTTTAATGTCACTGCAAGTAGGATGGAATCTCAAACAGACCAATAGAGATGTAGAAACTCAGCTGTGTCCTGGGTGTGTGAGGTGGGGCTCAGAAGGGCAGCACTGTCGCACAGAAGGGTCTTCACTGACTTCAGCACTGAATTAAAAATGTCTTGCACTTGTCTGATCTTAATTTCCAAGCAACCCCATTCTGTACCACAACAATTCCCTGTTTTCGGAATGCAACTCTCACTGCAAATGTGCCTCCAACGTGTGGGATCCTGTGTGTGGAGCCAATGGGATCACCTATTTTTCAGCATGTCTGGCTGGGTGTGGGACTTCTGTGGGACATGGAAAGAACACAGTAAGAGACCCTGCTTTGCTTTCCAAAGTTTCCTACCAGCTAATTTTCCATGTAACATCAGGGATTTAGTAGGATAATGCATTTCAGGAAAGCCAAAGTTACTGGGGACTCGTCAGTAAAAGATTTTTGATTTCTGGCTACAAACAGCACAGGAAAGAGAGATTTCTCTGAGGTATTGCACATTAAGCAAAAGGCCCTAGCTCCTTGTTCTAGATACTAACTTTCATCTTCTGTAGGCTGAGCACAAGAGGGGGAAACACACGAATCCAATTGGTTTCATGTTGCCTGAAGGTTGTCCATAGGCTTTGCCTTTCATAAATGTCATTTTGGCTGCCCTGAGGCTTTACCTGACAGCTGAAGTACACTAAGATAGAGTAGTATCTCCCCTGCTACTGATCATTAAAGTATGAAAAATGGGCTAAGGAAAGGCAGTTTTTTTCCTCCATGTGAGACTTTGGCATGTCAGGAAACTGCTTGTTTTTCTGGGTGACTGACTTTTGCTTGGCATGGAAATAATGCCCAATAATGTCTTGGGGATGGAAACAATGCCCAGTAATGTCTTTGCCCTAGAGAGAAAGCCCCAGTCCATGGATGTAAATCTTCACTGGGCTGTGCCATTTGCATGTTTCCTGATGCCAGGAGATCACTCCAGAACATAAATGGTCTGGAGCCATCTTTATTCTGTTTTCTCTGCAGGAGAATCCCCATTTCATAAGCAGTATCCTACCAAACCTGTTTTGTCTCTTCCAGGTCTTCCATAACTGCAGATGTCTTGAAATCAACAGTTCATGGACAGGAAACAATTCTGCCACCTTGGGGCAATGTCCAAAAAGTGATGATTGCTCGACAAAGTTCATTTATTACACAGTAATACAAGTCATAGGTGGCTTTTGCTATGCCCTGGGAGCCACTCCTTCATACATGCTTGTGTTTAGGTGAGTACAGCTGCCTGTTGACCAAAGGCTTTCTAGGGAGGTTTTCAAAGTCATGTTTGTTTCCTTACCTGAGGGAAAAAAAAGGAGTTTCATGCTGATCAGGACCTGTAGTGGTAGCACAAGGAGTAATGGGTTCAGACTGAAAGAGGGAAAGTTTAGGTTAGAAGAAATTCCTCCCTGTGAGGGTGGTGAGGCCCTGGCCCAGAGAAGCTGTGGCTGCCTGGCAGTGTCCAAGACCAGACTGGATGGGCTCTGAGCAACCTGGGATAGTGGGAGGTGTCCCCGCTCATGCTTTTGGAACAAGAAAATCTTTAACATCCCTTCCAAACCAAACCATTCTGTGATTCTATGGTTCTGTAATCAGGTTTTCCAGAACATGTCCGTTTTTCTGCTTGGATTTTGAAAGTGCCATGCAGTTGCCAGTATTTCTGGATATGCAAGGAGATGGCAGAGGCTGGAGATGTAATGAATTCAAGACCAGTGCCCGTTTCTGATGCCTGCAGCTCTCCATGAAACAGATGAGCATATTGCCAGGAGGCTTTGTGCTGTCCAAGATGTGTCCTTGTACAGAGGAATTAGGTTCAAGCACAGAAAGATGCTGCACTAACCCTGTTACCTGCAGCTCTTTTATCTTAGGGCAATAGGATATTTCCCATTAAATATTCCATCAAGTGAGGGAAGTGTATGCCCAAGAGTGAAGGCAGTTGGAGAGATCATTTCCAACAGGTCAGGATTGACTCTGATTATGGCTTTAAAACTTCAATTCCTTAATTATGTATAGGGAATGGACTTACCAGGAGCTATTTGCTGAGAATCAGTCAATTAATTCACCACTTAACACACTTCAGCAGATGGAGGAAGCACTCTTCTTCCAAATTTTGGCTTTCCTTCAGCAAGAATATCAAGTTCAGCTTATTTAATAGCAGTTTAATAGGCATGTCTAAGCACTAAATAGGCCAACACTTCTTACTTATCCCTTTTTTTCCAGATGTGTCCAGCCAGAGCTCAAAGCTCTCGCGGTTGGTCTATTCACACTCGTCATGAGAACTCTGGGTAAGAGAAATCATGGCAGGGTCCAATCCACCTCTGGAAGCCTGTAATCACCACTGAGGGAATATAGAGCTGATTTCTAAGAGGATGTCCTCTCCTGTGAAATCCTGTCCCATTTTTTTGCTCGTCTCCTTGCAGCTGGGATTCCAGCACCAGTTTATTTCGGTGCAGCCATCGACAAGACGTGCCTGAAATGGGGAAGCACCAGCTGTGGGAAGCGAGGGGCTTGCAAGCTCTATGACTCCAATGCAATCAGGTAAAGCAGAAATTAGGGCCCAAAAACCCTCTCTGTAGAAAGACATGCTTGGTTCTCCTACACTGAAGTGTGAGATGCAAAATCATGGTCAGATATCAGCTCTGGGCTCAGCTTTAAGTCGGTGCAGAATTCCTGAAATTGAAAAATCTCAAGATCAAATGTTAAGCTCTCAGTTTTTAGTCAGTTTTTATGTTGTACAAAAGAAAATTAATATCCATGTCTGAGATATCTTGAACGAATTGTGTAATTTGATATACTTAGAACCAATTAAAAATACCTCAGACTTTGGGACTTTAAAGAGGAAAGTTACTCAAATTTACCTTATTTCCAGGTAGTTTGTTCACACTGGCAATAATGTTAACTCTGTGAATTGGCCACTTTTGAGAGAAAAGTCCATGAAAGAATATTGTACTGAGTAGGTGTTGGTGAAAGCCAGTCACTGTCAGCCTCCTGGGGGAATGCTCCATAGATTTTTCTCAGTTTCACTTAAGCCTTGGCCACTTCTGATGTGTTTTTTATTTTTCCATGCAATAGAGCACTCTGGTGACCTCAATATATTTCTAGCCCTAAAGAGTCTAAAGCCTTAAAGTGATCCAAAAATCTTAAAAAAAAAAAAAGGAAGATGATGGAAGTTTCACTTTGGAATTACCCTCATAAGCAAAAAGAATATTATCAGTTCTTTAAGAAAAGTTTTTACAAGTAAAAGTGTCCAGGTTTTGGTATCATTCACAAACAATGAGTTTAAATATGTTCCCCTAAGCGGTCTTTTTTTTTTGTATATATGAGAGTTTTAAAGCCATTAAGGTGATTTTCTTCAGTGTTTTTGAAAAATTCAACACCTGGCCCAATCTTCTATGCTCTGTCCCACAGGTATGTCTACCTTGGTTTAGGAGCAATTTTAAGAGGTCCTTCCTTCTTGATTGGAATATTTTTTTACACATTGATAAAGAAACACTTTCAAAATAAGAACTCCAGGCCTGTAGAGAATGGACAGGAAGATGCTGCTATGAATAAAGAAGACAATTGCAAGATCAAAGAACGTTTGCCAGGTTCTTCTGATGCAGAGAATGAATCCTCTATTTAGAAAGAAATTTAGACATGTGAATCAGGTCAGCTTCTTTTAGAAACACCAAAATGCTGTGAGTAACTAAATAATAAATAATACCACTGTACAGAGAGCATAACTAATAGCAAAACTGCAAACAACAACAATAAACACTAACAAACAAGAATGAAAGTGCCTGATGTCTACCTGATTACCAGTTACAGAACGAGTTACACAACCTGAACCAAATTCCCAGCAGACAAAGGAAAACCTCCTTAGCAGTTCTGACAGAGCCAATCTGGGTATTTTTAGTGGGACCAAAGATGCTGCCAGAACAGCCACATGCCAAAGGCCCAGAAAAAGTGATCCTGACCCTGTATGCAGATCCATGCAGGGGACTGACACAGCAGGGACAAGCTCAAGGCTAGGACAAGCTTTCTGAATCCATGAAATTCAACCAAAATTCACGGTAAGCCGAAGCATTTAAGCCAAACACCTCACCAAATTGCATCATTGCACCTGGTTTTCATCTCAAAATTGGCAAAAGCAGTAATTTCCCAAGAAGCATTTTCTCTTACCTCAGCTGAAAAAGTTATGCCTGCTTAAAACTACACCCACGTTTTCATAAAGACAATGGGGTTTGGGTTTGTTGTATTTTTTTTGTTTGTTTGTTTTATTTTTAAGTCTTCGCGTCGTGGGATTTTATTCAAAAATACCTTTTTTAAAAAAAGTTTTAAGAGATTCTGAAAGCCAAGGATGTGATGGCCCGCAGTGTTCGGCAGAGGGCACCCAAAGAACGGCGTTACTCCCGACGAGCATCGCAATTAATCAATGTATTCCTCACGTTCACTTCGGGTTTTCCCGGGAGAAATTCATCACCAGCCAGGAAAAAACACCCATCCGTGTTCCTACACACCTTAAAATCCTCTAGCCTCATGTGCTTTAGCTCATCCACTCAACCCTGCATTTATCTGTTGGTTTGCTTTCACTGTACTCGCATCTCTTGGAGCTGGGCAAGTTGTTATTAAAGTTTTAAATGAAAAAGATGAGCCCTTGAGTACCATTTCAACAACAGGAAGGCTAACACTTTAAAATAGATGCTCAAGGCTCAGTGGGATATGGTTAATATACATATTAGGTATAAAATATATGCATATATATGTTGAGCAAAATGCTGACTGGTTCTAAAATGTGTAGTCTGTCATGACAATCACTTAGCAGTGATTGCAGCAGCTGAAGGGAGAAGAATGGGACTTTTTTCCCCAAATGAAGTGATATTTACTGAAGGTAGAGGTTCTCCATCCATCAAAACTAGAGAAGTTCTTTATTCTTCTTTAGTCTGGAGAAAATGAGGCTCAGGGGAATCTTGTGGCTCTCTACAGCTCCAGGTGGGGTCAGGCTCTTCTCCCAGGTAATCAGCAAGGGGAGAAGGGGAAATGGCCTCAAGCTGGGCCAGGGGAGCTTCAGCTTGGCCATCAAGAATATTTTCTTGACAGATATGCTTGGAACAGAGTGCCCAGAGTCACAACCCCTAGAAGAAACACACCAAAGCTGTCATGCTGTAAACTGCACAATAAACTTACATTGTTCACTGCTTGCACAAGGGGTGGAAGAAAAAGAAGAAAAGTCTTTTCCCATCTTGCTACTTTCTGTGCCTAAAGCAGGTGAGGGAATTATTTTTCTCTTTTCTATGACTGCACAGGAAAATAACTGTGTGGAATCTTTCCCACTGTTTAAGAAATACCTGATGTCCAAATCAATACAGAAATACTTTTTAGCTAAGCACTTTTTTCTTAAAGTGTTTTTTGAGTATCTCCTCTTCGAGACAAAGCTAGAACACATATATATATAATAGATATAGTCCTCCCTTCCTCTCTCAATGCATATTCTGCATCTGTGCTGAGCTACAGTGACAAGGGAAAGAAAACAAAAGGTATTTCTTCCTTTGTGCAGCCTGTAGCAAAGCCTTGCTGGGCTGCCCTGGCTCAGTCTATGCACAAAGGAAATCTCCTCCTGAGACAGCCTGCAGGGCTCGGATCTGCCTCTGAAGCAGGAGAGGTGGTGACCTCTGTTTGAGCACGAATAATCGCGCTGCAGTTCCTGCCCCTGTGCTGATGCAGGTCTTTATTCGACCTGACTGGGTCCCTCACCTCTGCTGGCTGCAGGCTCTCCCAGCTGCTGCTGGGCTGTGTGAAGTGCTGTTTGTGCTTCCTTCTATTCATGCTGGCCTTACCTGCCACGAATGGTGCAATCACACCGACAAGATCATAGGAAGGTTCAAAGTCCAGGGTGGAAAAAGGAGAGAGAGAGAGAGAAATAATTTTTTTAAAAAGCGCTAAAAATAGAGTTTCTAAGGCTGGAGGTGGGGCTCAGGGGACATCAGAGACATGCTGGAGCCTCCAGATTGGGGGGGGGGGGGGGATCATCCAGTTGGTGCCTTTCATTTCTTGCAGCAGTGTTGAGTCCACAGACTTCAGGGAAACCCAAAGAGAAGTGAATCCCCTGGGGTTGGTGGAGCCCTGGCTGCTGGAGAGGGAGGGGTGGCAAGGACCATCACCAAAGGCCACTACGAGCTGATCTGTGAGGTGAGCTCCTGGAGGCCCTGGAGGGACAGATGGCTGTGGGTGACAGCCACAAGCAGTGGCTGGGATGCCCTGAGTGGCCTTTGGGAGAAGCTCCTCCACAGGGTGACGGTGCAGCACTAGAACAGGTTACCAAGAGAGGTGAGGGACTCTGGAGGGGGTTTAAGGCTTGATTAGACAAAGCAAGGGATGAGCTGAGCTAGTGTTGGCAACAATCCTGATTCTTATGGGAGACAGGGCCAGAGGCACCCAGAGATCTTTCCCAGCAGACACTTCCATTACTGTACTTACATTAAAATTGAATAAACATGCCCTTGTGTTGACTTAACCTTCCCAGTGAGCACGTTGATCTGGTTTTGTTGACATGCTTGTTCCTAGAATCCGATTCTCACTAAATACAAGTGAAAATGGGGGATGGCCTGTATGTTACCTGATATAACATGAGTTAGGTGTTTGGTTAGTTTCTGGTGCCATCTTTCTGGTTTTGGGAAGCTGCCTGAGATGATATGGTGCCATATTATATAAAAAGACACACGCTGTCTTTACAAATCACTGCTCCCTGTTGCCCAGGACAGACCAGGACGTGTGTTCTTGTGCTGTCTCATGGGGGGTGAGGTAGAGGTCAGAGAAAACCCTTCTTGTTCCCCTTCCTTCCATCACAGGCCTGGAAAATGGTAAGGAATTAATCTAAAATTTTGTGTAGTAAAATAGAAATCCCCATTGCCTGCAAATTGCTGGATAAGAGCCAAAAAGGATTAGCAAGGAAACATGTTCCTTCCAGCATAATTGTATATTTGGCTTATATTTTATTAAATGAATAACAGCTGAGCAGAAAGGCCAAAAGGAGAGACTCCCCCCACCCTGAGGTATGTTCAAGGCAGAGCTTGGGCTGTGTGTGAGTCAGGTGCCAGAGTGGGTGATTTTGCATAAAACACTGAGGTTTAACTGTGGATGAGACCATGAGTAGCAATCAAAGTGAGTGACTAATGCAGGTGTAAAGGGTTGCTGTTTTTTAATGTTTAAATTTTCTTTTTAATTCCTTGAAGGTGGGAAGAGAAGGAGCAAACCCAGGCGCTGAGGTCGAGTCTGAGGGGAACTGGAGGCCTGAGGTGATAAATCATCAGCACTGCAGGGAGACTGAGGGAGAAACTAATGTAATATATGAAGCAATATGGAAAGAGGAATTGTATTACTTCAGTCAGCTCTCAAAGGATTCCATTCCAGATGGTTAGGGCAGGGTAGATCAGGAGCCCCCATCGATGGGGCCCACCATCTGAGAACAGCAAAAGCAGCAGAGGGTTTCTTCTGACTCCAGCACTTTTAGCAGGAGAGACCTGTCTCTGTAGCAGATAAGATAGCTGGTTTTAATGAAAAATTACTTCTTTGTGAGGAAAGCTGGTAATGAGCATGGCCATTTTGGCATTTTCCCCCATTCGGGAAATGTGTCTTCTTCTTGCAGAACATTTATGGAGAGGCTTAGGGATTAGTCTGCAGCCCTAAAGCTCTGCCTGGCTCTGGATGATGGTGCCACTGCTGATGGGAATGCTGGGCTTGATGAAGATCCCACCATGGCAGCCCTGCAGAGCAACAGCCCCAGGGATGAGGAACAGCTCCCATGGAGCAGCCTGAGACTCTCAAACTTGTTTTTTTCAAAGTCACCAAGCAGTGGCTGGGAAGCAGTGTCCTTTACAGCCCTCAGCCAAGGCCTGAGGTGAAACAAAGGTTCATGGAGGAATTTGTTGAGCATTGGCACTGTCCAGCTTCAGATCAGAGGCAGAAAACCCCCGAGACCTCAGCACTGATGCAGTGCCACAAACCATTGGAATGAGGAGGGATGTTTCACTCTATGGAATTTTTTTCTGAATTTGAAGGGCTTGAGAAGAATTCTCATTTGGGGAAAGTTTGGCTGTACTTTGCTACAACATTAGACTTCTCTGTTGGGTGTCCTCTGCTAGAAATGTTTAGATTTATTTTTGTTTGTGTTCTGTAATACGCAGCTAAGAAAACAGTTTTGAATAGGACAAATTGTCTTGTTCCAGGGAGGAGGTTTGATCTGGAGAGTGAAAACAGCTTGCTACTTGGAGGACTGTCCACAAAAGAACAAAGCTCTCAGGACACTTCCCTGCACTGTGCCCCACTAGAGATAATGTAGAGCCAAGGTGTTTGCCTCAGGAAACACAGCTATGTGAGACAGACTCTCGTTAAGTGTTTTGTTTCTTTGTTTTCCTAGAATTCATGTGTTCCAGTGCCTGGTGGGCTGACTCCTTTGGATCTGATGGGCAAGTACCTTGGGTATTCTCTGCTCCTGCTTGTGAGAAAAAGGAATCGTGTTAGTTCATCTTGCAGGGATGGTGGTGCACTTTCCTGACAGTCTTTAGCAGCTGGTGCTGTGGAAGAAGACTGGAGTCTTTTTTAATCAGGTGTGCATCTCTCCAGATTTGTGTTATGCATGTCACTGGTAACATGTGAGGAAAAGATACCCATGAAAGTATTTTTTCATGAGTATGAAAAAATACTTTCAGGAAAAGTATTTTTTCATGAAAATACTTTTCATGAAAAAGTATTTTTTCATAGTCATGAAAAAATATTATTTTCATGAGCATGA